TGCATATGAATCCCATTGGCTTAGACATATTTAACTTGCATTTCCAGACAGGTCTTGAAACTACGCTTTCTACAGAGGTGCTGTAGTGGTCAGCGCAGCCAAAAAAACTCCAACAATTTGACACCTTTAACCGACTATTGGGTAATTCCCTCACAACAGCTGACAAGTTGTTTTAAATTATGATATGCTATATATATATATATGTTATATGTTATATAAATAATATATGTTATATAGCTGTGGCAGTGTACCTCTTCAATATTAAGTATTGTTATTCGGGCAGATGACAAGTGCATTAAAAGGGGGTGACAAGGGTGGGGACTTTCCAGATGAAGGAAGGAAGGAACCAGTTGATGGAACCTATTTGTCTGTGCCTCCCACCATCCATGGAAAATGTTCATCTTTAAAATGTTGTGTTTCTCTACTTATTGTCACAGCTAGCAGTATTCTTAGCCATTGCAATCAAAATAATAGATGATTTGCCAAGTTGGCTTGGGGAGCCTCAGTATGCTAATGGCTGACAGCGGAATGCAGACTGCCTTGGACTCATGGAAACGAGGTTTTGCACTGTCTGCTGGGTAATCTCCCAATAGTTGATAGGTTAGTTTAAAGTTAAATGCTGGCATGTTAACATTAAATATAGCTGTGGCAGTTGATTAGCATTTTGATATAGCCCATGTTTACCACCTGTCAGAAATTGGTAGTGAATGACGTAACTCACAAGAGTAGAGGGTCTTGAAATCCAGTGATTTTCTTTATTTTTATATATGTTTAAAACAGTCAGTATTCTATCAGAAGGTGTTTTAAGGCATCCCATATTCTAATCATGACCTTTTTCAGTTCTATTATTGATGGGAAATGATATGTTTTGCCTATGCAATGTTAAGTGAATATTCCCCTACACATACAGCGCTATAAAGAAATACATACATTAACCTATGGATGTATTGCATAATAAGACGTGGATATTGTAGCGGAGATGCAATATTCCACAGGTTATCTCCGCTTGTAATCCAAGTGAGGCTCAGGAACAAGTAAATAATAAATCCATAGGCAAAGTTTCCAGCAGGTAAAAATAACAGCAATCTCCCCACAGCACTCCCAATAACTGGACGACACACAGTTTCAGGAGCAGAACTGACAAGCCTTTAATCACAGTCTCCTTATAAAGCATGCTCCCATGCAAGGGAGGGATTTACAGTAATTATTACAGTAGCCAATCCTGTCCTGGTAACCTCCCACACATCCCCTCCCCTCAGCCAGCATCATAATCCCCTTATCCAGCACACCAATTCCCCCCGTTTCTGGATGTACCCCTAAACGTAGGGGTACCCCTTTAAATCATACATCCCCTGGTAGCCCTGATCTGGGTGAACCAACATATCCAAAAATCACCCAGATCGGACCAGGGGTTCGGGAAAAGTATGGAGGGAATAAAATGACCGACCGCACGAACTGAGATAGCCGAATCCGGTTCCATGTGAATGGGCCCTGCGGTCGGTCCTGGCATAAGGGAATAAAATACACGAAAACCTCTAGCTATAGAGGCTAGGGAGGGTTCGCCTGAATCCCCTCGTTCGGTATTTTCTATCTACCGAACGAGGGGCCGTTCGGTAGTTTGGAACCGAACGGACCAGGGCTGTGGAGGTCTCAGCGGTGTTCGCCTACTCGAGTGTCCGATTTTAGTTCCAGACACTCGACGGCAAAACACCGCTGTTCGGGAGTTTTAAAATGGCCGCCGCCACGTGTTCGTTTGTCGAATGGCGGCCACCCCCGAGAACAAAGGACGGCTACTTCCTAGTCAATTACCCGTTCGCAACAATGTTGCAACGGGTAATTGAGGACACACTTTACACAGGGGAGGTCTGGTTGTTCGGTAGTTTCATTCGAATAAACTAAGGGAATGAAACTACCGAACAATCAAAAGAATACAAGGCTTTGAAACACATAGAAAACTAGCAGATCACACGAATGCAATTATTTCAAGGACATTTGCAGGACAGCCCAGTGCCATTCGCTACAGATATAATAACATATATTATCCTGTATCTACAAATATCTGGACAGGCCCTCTTTGAATGGTTTTATGGGTGGAAGAGGGCAAAAGGAATAGAGATGAAGAAATAGTTAGAATCCCGCATGTGTATTTAGTACACCTGGATATACCTTTTCCAGGGCCGTCTTTAACGCGGGGCAAACGGGGCAGCTGCCCCGGGCCCAGTTTCTCTTGGGGGGCCCGAGGCACTGCCCCAGGTCTCGCTGATTCGGCGGGAGTGGAGGGAGGAAATGGAGAGGAGGGAGTACTGGCAAAGCTTGTCGGGCATTCGAGGCTGAGCCGAAGATGACGCCATCTTCCGGCTGGCATCCCACGCTGCGCTGAGGGAGTTTTGAAGAGGAAGCACTGAGTGCTCCCTCGCTACGCCTCGCTTCCTGCCCGCATCAAGCCACTACCAGGAGCCCAGCAGCACCGATTCCCTGAATCCCCCAGCAATTCAAAAGCAGTATAAGCTGGGGAATTACATTTAAAAAAAAAATGTGTGTATGTGTGTGTTAGTGTATGTGTGTGTTAGTGTATGTGGCAGTGTATGTGTGTGTGTGTGTGTTAGTGCATGTGTGTGTGTGTGTGTTAGTATGTGTGTGTGTTAGTGTGTGTGTGTTTGTGTGTTAGTGTATGTGTTTGTGTGTGTTTGTGTGTGTGTGTATGTGCGTGTTAGTGTTTGTGTGTTAGTGTATGTGTGTTAGTGTGTGTGTTTGTGTGTTAGTGTATCTGTGTGTTAGTGTATGTGTGTGTTAGTGTATGTGTATGTGTGTGTTAATGTATGTGTGTGTGTGTCAGCATGTCTGTGTGTGTGTCAGTATGTCTGTGTGTGTGTGTCAGTATGTCTCTCTGTCTGTGTGTCAGTATATATGTGTGTGTATATCTGTGTGTGTCAGTATGTGTATGTGTCAGTATGTCTGTCAGTGCGTCAGTATGTCTGTTGGTGCATGTGTATGCATGTGTCAGTATATCTGTCTGTGTGCCAGTATGTCTGTGTGTGTGTGTCAGTATATCAGTCTGTGTGTGTCAGTGTATGTGCCTGTGTGTGTGTGTGTCAGTATTTCTCAGTGTGTATGGGTGTCAGTATATCTGTCAGTGTGGCTTAGATTATCCAGTATTTCTGTCAGTGTATGTGTGTCAGTATGTTGAGTCCAGTGTATGTGTCTGTGTGTGTGTGTCAGTGGGGTGTATGTGTCTGTGTGTCAGTATGTCTGTATATGTGCCTGTGTCAGTATGTCTGTCAGTACGTCTACCAGTGTATGTGTCTGTGTGTGTCAATATATGTGCCTGTGTCAGTGTGTCTGTCAGTGTATGTGCCTGTTTATCTGTATGTAGTCAGTGTATGTATCTGTGTATCTGCTTGTGCGTCAGAGTGTGTACCTGTGCATCTGAGCCGCAACTTTAAATACAAATACACCCCTCCATTCAAACTTCAGCACTACATATAAAACACACTCCTGCATTGAAACGTCAACACTACATACAAGCACACTCCTACATTCAAAACAAACACTACACATAAATGCACACTTGCATTCAAACTCCAGTACCACATACAAACACATTCACACAAACATACTCCATACAAACACATGCTTACATTCAAACATACTAACATGGCTCAGTGCTAAATACAACCCTGCAAGCATGGGAAATTGGTAGAGTCCCAGCTGTCAAAGCATTGTTGGAGTTGCACAACAGATGGGGTTCTACCTTTAGTCCAACCTTGCAATTGGGGGTCCCAATAAAATTCATTCTACTTTAGTACCGGCACTGCGTTGGGATGGATGCCGTGATTGCATACCAGGGAGTGAGGGGCGAGAGCGGCAGGGCACAGGGGGCCCAAGCAAACACTTGCCCAGGGTCCATTCGTTATTAAAGACGGCCCTGATTCTCACTAATTATTTTCAATATATAATATACTTATAGGTCCTAGAGGGAATCAATATTAGACCCCAGAAAACTGAATATCAACCAGGCCACAAATAGCTATTTCATGGGGAAAGTTTCTGTTTTTCCCCTTTAAGTTGCTATGTCAAATAATTTAAATGACGTGTTGACCCTTCCTAAAATATTTAGGACACCATTTTGATTATCCTTTTGAATATTGCCATATTCTTTCAGACAATACATGACTTTGAGCCTCTATATTGTAATATGTTGAGGACCATTATTTCTTTTTTTATTGAAATGTTATTCATATTCTACATTCTCTGCATGTAGGCATGAGTGCCTATTTCAAAAATATATGTTAGGACTATTGTAATTTGGCATTATACATATATGTGTAATTTGGCAAGAAAGTTTTTTTTCCCCATTTAAAATGTAACTTTTCCAAGCTGGAAAAATTGCAGTCATTGTAAAACTATTGCACAGAGATTCAGAAAAAAGGCATTACCAGTTAGTTGCCAGCTATTATTAGGAGCAATATGATCTGAAGTCAATGGTATCATGAATGGACCTCTTCAGCCATGTAGAAGAATGGAGACTGACCTCCTGGTAACGCTTACTACATCTTATTATCACTTCTGCTTGATGCATTTAGTAGGGACAGCCACAAAATCCACTCGCAAAACATACAGTTGGATGGTTAAAATCAGCTAATAATATGAATCCTTTTCTCTGTTTCAAAGTCTATGGTGCAGATATTACCTTCACAGTAATTAAAAAAAACAAGACTAATATTTGACATAATAATGTTGCTCTTTACAAAGATACTGGTTTATAACAGGTCTCAGAAACAGCCCCGCCCCCCATTCACATCTAAAGAAATAAAAAATATATTCTTGGTACTCTTAGAATGTATTTAGACACAGGCATGCCCCTAAAAATGAAATCTGGCTTATTTCTGTCTATTTTGCCCATCTTCTACTCATACCCCAATCATTGTAATCCAACACTCTAATCAAAAATGACTTCCAAGAATGTCTAATTTAATATGTTTCGTATAAGTGAACAGTACCTGGATCAATGATTTGTTTGGCTTCTTCAAATCTAAATGGTGTATATTTCCTATGATTGGTAAGGCATATGGTCCAGGGGGGAAATTCCAATACTTGCTTTTACTCCGACCATAGGAAAAATATAGGAAAGATATACAGATGATGGAAAGTAAGATTGTGATTGGATCCATTGGAATAATATGTTTGGCAAATTCTGTACCTGAAAACACATATAGAAAGATTTTATATTGAATTCAACTCTATTCTCTGTATAGGAAAAAAGGGCATGGATTGCTTCAAAAGGTGTTTCTTTAACGGTGCCAAGACAAGTAAAATGATATGTAAGAGAATCAGCTTGAATTTTAATCTTATTTCCTCTCTGCGCCACATTCACAAAGATAATAGAGGGAAAGTACAGCCATCACAGCAGAGTAGTTTCAAACAGTCATATACCACTTATTCACAGAGACAGGGGTATTGAGAAAAATAAAAAAATAACACTTGTAAAAATTATCCACATTTAACATGGAACATCTAAAGCAGCGGTTCCCAACTTGTTGTATGCGTACCCCCCAAGGGTACAATCCAGTACTCCAGGGAGTAAAAAACTATATTAATGGCGGAGGAGCAACTGTACTGCATGGGCTGGGAACCGCATGTTGAGTGGCTCCATTGGGTGGCCCATGCAATTAAGGCTACCCGATGGACAGTGGCCCTCGGGGGTCCAGACCTTAAGCTTTGTCAGAGGCCCCCAAATTTCTGATGGCCCTGTGTGTCAGTATGTGTATCTGTGTGTCTTTATCAGCATGTGTGTCTGTGTGACTGAATGTGTGGCAGTATTTGTATCTCTGTGTCTGTACATCTGCATGTGTGACAGTGTTTGTATCTGTGTATCTTCATGTGTGTCAGTATGTATCTGTGTGTGGTGGCATGTGTATGCGTGTGCCTGTGTGTGTCAGTGTGTGTATCTGTGTATGTGCATGTATGTTAGTATGTATATCAGTGTATCTCTGGATCTGCATGTGTGTCACTCTATCTCTCTGCACTGTGAGAAGCAGCTGGAGTCTGGGGCATGGGAGAAGTGGTATGAGTCTGGGGCAGATTAAAAGAGGCAAGAGCTTGGGGCAGAGGAGGAGCAGGGAAAGCCCATGGCCATAAAAAGGGGATATGGGGCAGTGGAAACATTTATACATTTGAAATAACAGCAATTCTATTTATTACAAACATTTTACTAATATGAGGGTTACAATTTATGGAAAATAGGCTGTCAAGGGTTACTCAACTGAAAAAAGGTTTGGGAACTACTGACCTAGAGGTTTACGTAGATTATGGTGTGTAGATGCAAGCCTAGGGCTCTAGGAGAAGGCCCTCGTGTGGCACCCTGCCTAGGACACTGGTCAACCTTAATCCCCCACTGGTAAGTGTGTGTCATTGTGCGTGTATTTCTTTGAGTGTATTTGTGCATGTGTGTGTTCATATGTCAATACACTCCTGCATTCTAACACTACACAATAATACACACCATGCATTTGCAAACTTTACACAAAAACACTCATATATTCAAAAATCTGTTGTGTTATAGTCAGGGTGCAAAGAAGCAACAAATGAAAAAAAATGATAGATTTAACTTATTATATCAAATATTCCATTAACATTAGATATAAAAATGTTGGGAATTCAAAGGCAGTTTCAAATTTAA